AGTAATGATTTTATGGGATTCTTTATAAATAAGACTGATCTAATTAAAAATAGATCATTAGCACTCCTCTAACTACGTTTGGTTTATCTCTTGAAGGTGAGGCAGCATATGAGGTAACCATAGAATCTGTGCAGGGTTTGGGCTGCTTTGGTCCAGTTGAGATTTCAGAGTTGACAGGACTATTGTCTTCATATGGGCCTTCAGCGTGTGTGTGGTGGATCCAGTTCCAACCAGGTTATTTAAGAAAATGTTACCTTTATTCTCGTCCTCCCTTTTGTCATGGTTTTCACGTATTTGGCCCTCATGCAGATCACACTCAGGAGACAGGAAGCAGATTAAGGTATTTATTAAAGCTCACAAATTAATACAGATCAGTGTGAAATAAATCACAGCGGGTCAGCACCAAGGTGAGTCACGAGACCGGGGTTTGCTCGATCTAAGATAGGAAGAGAGAGGTTAGACGGCGCACTGAGGACGGGCTGTGCGTCACAGAGGTGCGTAAAGCTTGTTTAATTCATTCAAGAAGTCAGCATCAGCTGTATCTACCGGGGGGGAGGGTGTGTTGTAGTCTGTGTTCCCCTGTATGCCTTGCCACATCCTCCTGGTGTTGCTGGCATCATGGAAGAGATCCTGGATCTTCTGGCTGTGGTTCTGCTTTGATGATCTGATGACACGGTTCAAGTTGTCTCTCGCTGTCCTCAGTTCCTCTTTATCTCCAGACTTGAAAGCTGAGTTCCATGCTTTTAGCGATTTCTGAACCTCCACATTCATCCAGGATTGCTGGTTGGACCGGGTGGTGATGTTCTTTGTAATGCTGACATTATTCTGAGTTTATTTACATCTCTCTTCCTTATCCAACCTTGACCTTCCAAGTTTGGCTGTGAACCAGGTATTGTCTTTATTGTAACTCATCCTGGTTGGTGATGGAACACACACAGCTTTTTCAATTCAAAATGTCACGACTGGTGTTCTTTCTCCTCTACAGGGGCTGGGGTTGATATGATAGCGGGAAGGTGGTTTGAGAGGGATGTGAAGGAAGTTATCTATGTTAAGAAAGAAAAAACAACCTTAAACAGAGGGAGTGGACTCAGGTTTCAGCTTTCAAAAACCTACAATGCAGCGATAGAGTTAATCCCTTCCCGCTGTCATCGCAACACCAACCCCTGTAAAGGAGAGCAGAGGGCCTTACCTATTCAGCCAGGCCAACAATTCCCTTTAACGACCCCTCTTTCAGACACTTAGATGGGTGCATTACAGGCAAACAGCCAAATGACCCCCATTCCAAGGGGGTGGACCCCTTTATCCCTTTCAATTTGCATGTTTTGAAAACAAAAACAAGGTTTTGTTTGGCTACTGTATAAAACCTTAAACTCAACCCTATTCCTGACATTTTGAATAGAAAAAAATTCTTGGTTTGGAAGTGAAACATCTTCAAACTTCAAACAAAGTCCAATGGATTGTTTTTAATTTTCTGTTTTGTAATGACTATGACCTGGTTGACTGAGAATATTCACCAGCATCCCAGTCAACTTAACCTTGTTAGGCTGGGACCTGACCTTGGCAGGCTGAGACTTGACAGAAAAAAGAAAATGAGAATTTTCATTGTTGACTCCCTCTGGTGCAGAAAGCAGAGGGGGTTCACGCTCTAACCCTTCAAATGTGGGAAGCAGAAGTGGCTTACTCTCTAACCCCACTGATGTGAGAAGCAGAGAGGGCTCACTCTCTAATCCTTCTGATGTTGTTAGCAAAGGGGGCTCCCTCTCTAACCCCTCTGATTTGTGAAACAAAGGGAGGTCCCACCCTAACCTCTTTGGTGTGGAAAGTAGAAGCCGCACACTCTCCCTGTGATGCTGGAATCAGAGGGAGCCCCTCCTTGAACACATCTGGTGCATGAAGCAGGGGGTTTTCACCCTAAACTGCTTTTGTGCCAGAGTCAGAGGGGGCTCCCCCCAGTCCCTCTAAAGCAGAAAGTGGAGGGTAGGACTTGGACGGACACAAGGGGGTGGGAGGTAAAACGTCCTCCAGACCAAAAGTGGCCTGAAATCTTCTCCTGTGTCCAAGACAAGGGGCCCTGAAGACCCTGTAGCAGCACCATACTGGATACCCTAAAGCTGAGTCATAGCGCGGCTCATCTTCCATAAATTCTCCAAATATTTAGGACATAAAAGCAGGTAAACCGATCTTGTAATAATTCTTTCCTCAAACTCACCTGAAGAGGCAGAGGTGGGTTGAGTTGCTGATGCAAAGAACCAGGTTATGAGCAGATAAATTGTGGCAGAAGGTGCTCTGCTGTTGTGGGGTATGAAACACTGAGCTTTCCCAATCTGTGGCTCCTCCCTTCACCTACTCACTTCACTACACTCGGTGTGAAGCTGCCTTGCAGATGAACTGAGTCTCTTTGAGTTGCTGTAGGGTATATACACCATCCACTTTTGAGATGGCCTTCCCTCGCACTACTGGAACAGGAAGCTGCTGTCACCATGGTAACGGGCCAAGCTTTGACAGTGGCCAGAGGTGTCTAGTAACGAAGTACAACTACTTCGTTAGCGTACTTAAGTACACTTTTTAGGTATCTATACTTTACTCCATTACTTATTTTTCTTCCTACTTCTGACTTCTACAGCTATATTTTCACATAGTATCTGTACTTTCTATTCTTTACATTTTTAAAACAAACGTTACTCATTATTCTTGGCTTCGGTTTAATGTTTATAAATATTTATTTCAGGTCATGTGCTCCATCCAATGCAGATCATTGGCTCCATCCACATCTTGTGAAAACTAGTGTAATTGGATGAGTCATATAACGCAAACACTCATTGGTTAGCTAAAGGAAATCATCAGAAGTTACTTTATACTTTTATACTTTAAGTAGTTTTTGGACCACATATTTTTTCACTTTTTCTTGAGTAAAGAGGTCAAGTTAATACTTCAACTTTTACCAGAGTGTTTTTAAACTGCAGTATCTATACTTCTACTTTGTTGGGAGCTGGAGAAAATACCATTTTTCTCCAGCAGAGTCCGCCGTGGATCCTCTGAGGGAGCCTCCTGCACAGGTGCAGCTCATCAAGACCATCAGAGGATCCACTACTTAAGCTGCCTTCAGACCTTACCTCAACGCCGCAGTGTTGTTCCAGTTGGTCAGCGCTAAAGCCTTGATCTCAGTGATTTTTCCATGTCCTTAATCCCGAGTCAGATTCTAACGTTTGTCTCTGTGCCTCTAGGTGACTCGTGGTGACATCACCATTGGAAACCAAACCCCGTCAACAGTCCTTAACTGTGTTGTCTCTCACGCAGACTCCGGTGAAACCAGATTCCAGGCCCGAACCAGTCTTCTGCATATTATGTGCTTGTGCAAATAAACTTGTTAAACTTTTCATCCTGTGTCCGTCAGTGGTGTTCTGCATCTTTGGGTCTCCATTAGAGAACCGATCATGACATACTTAAGTAACAAATGTGTGAACTTTTGACACCACTGGCAGCGGCAGCAATGAGGCATAAATAGACGGCTTTGGAAATAGCTGGTTAATGGAAAACTCATCTATAATGTGAAAGATTGCACACAAAAAAACAACTGGATGGACTCTCAGAGTTATGACTTAAAGGTGACAAAACACAATTTCCTTACAAAACCAGTAATTTATTTTAATGCTCTGTAGAAAAGTCCTCTCTGTCCTCCTCCTATCCTCTTCTTCTCATCAACCGCTCTGACCAACCAGTTGATCTGAGGGTTGCAGAGAAGAGAGAAACAGGATGAACCTTTTGATTTTTTTAACTATCAGATAAGAAAAATAATGAAAAAGAGGGTAATTGTCCATGCTGATATTTCCTGCTGAAGGAACAATTAATTTCTGTAAACAAAGTTCATGGAAATTATAAATTCAGAACAAACAAAGATATGAAAAATGGCCCCCAGTGTTCATTTTGTTTTTATTTACCCTCCACAGCAGCCAATGCTCATTTTAGTTATGGAGAAGTTCAGACTTTGTTTGTATTTGAGGTAATATCTATTAAATGAATACAGTACATTTTTTCCCTTTTTTGTATACATCACATTTTTTATATATTTGTTTTTGCTTACAAAAGTATTTAAATTTATCTTAGTAGTTTCTAAAGTCCCTTAATACTACTGGATCAGCAGGTGAACCGATGTGAGTTTAACCGTTATATCCTGTAACTCTGTAAGAGTTTAAAAAACAATCCACTGGACTTGGTTTCCAAGATTTGAAGACGTTTCGCTTCCCCTCCAGTAAGCTTTCTCAATTCAAATGCGAAAATCAGCATATATCCTGTAACGATAAATGATTATATCAAGGGTACTTTAATCAATAAGGAAAAATATTTAGTGTTCTTGTAACATATAAAAAAAAAGGAACTGGACGCTGCTTGTGAGGATTGGCAAAAACATGGTGAACAGCATAACCACGGTTCACTATTGTCTTATTGTAGGGACCTCAAGTCCACATCAACTGAGACCCAGGAGTATATATATATATATATATATATATATATATATATATATATAGATAATTAAAGAAGTAAAGGAGCCTGATGGAGCTCCTGAACTAAAATGTTGAGCAACATTTTGAGGCAATAACCCGTGAAGTCATGTGTTTCTGTAACGTTCAGGAAATGGTCAGCCAGGCTTTGGATGTTGGTTCATCAGCAAAGGGCCTGAGATTGTCTGGGACAGTATTGTTTTTTAATAACAATTTAAAATCAATATCTAATTTTACTAAATTTTCATTTATTAATTTAATACAACTTTTTCAGTTTATTGTTATTTGTATTAATAGTAGATGTATCATTTTCTTTAATGGGATAGTTTGCACAACTGTATGCACAGAGCCGCTTATATGATGGGCTGCTTCTCTCAGAACAGATGGTGCCATGACCTGTTGTTGGGTCCAGTTTTAACAGCCCTGATAAAGCTGTAGTGTACTGTGCTCTCATCAGGAGCAGAGGACTGCTCTGACCTGTAACATGCTTTCCTCTTGCAGACGGCCTTTAAATTCCTCCAGAAGCACCCCAAGGTCCTGAGCAGCAGAATTGCCATGCTGGGCCTCTCCCTTGGCACCAGTATCACCCTGAGGATGGCTGTCTGTTCTGAAGTTACCAAGGTTTGATTTAGAACAGCTCCAGTTGGATCTCTTAGTGTCCACCTGAACCGATGCAAATCAATTTCTGTCATGATGTTACAAAGTTCAGACCCAAAATGCAGAAAACCGAACAGAGAGACCAGGGAAAAGGTTTAACGGGTTTTACTGAAGAAATTAAACAGAGGGAGAAGTGTTGCTCTGAACACTGCTCAACCGGAACTGTAAAGTGAGGGGAAGACACAGCGGTTAGTTCAGGCTCAGTGGGGAATTTGACTCGTGAATTTGGAGAAGAGTATTTGGTTGCGACTCACGTTTCCAGAGAAGTTTGTTGAACCCTTGACTCCTGTCTGTGTGCCGTGGTTCCAGTGTTTGTCTGATTCGGTGGAGGGAGGAACAGGGTTACCCAGAATGCGGTGGTTAGTTGGTGAACGGAGAAACTGACTGCCACTCAGATTTCCTGTGGTATTTGAACAGGTCGTAGTGGAGAATAATCCCTTTCTCAGTGAGAAGCTCAAACAATCTCTTGGGGAAAGTGGATCCAAACCTCCTGTTTAAACCCCAGCTCACTTTGAAGCTCAGTTGATCCTTCCAGGGAGAGAAGGTCCAAGAAAACCAGTCTGCAGGATGAATTCCTGCCGAGAGGCAAAAAAAACAAAAAAAAACAAAGTTAAGCTCAGGTTGACAAAACTCAGTTTGACTCAGCAAAACTCAGCTTGGCTAGATTACCCAAAACTGGCAAACACTGGAGTTGAAGTAGTGGCAGTCAGCAGCTTAAGAGCACTCCATTTAACGAGGAAACCATCAGCAGGTGTGTGAGGAGGCGGACCAGAACCTGGTGGATGAAGGGAGACAAACACAGAAACACAAACACAAAGACAGGAGTCCTGACTATTTCACTTCCGGCAGATACTGGGATGGGACGTCTGGCTAGCAGGCAGAGGTTTTCACAGCTTCTTAGCTCAGATACTGGGAGCACAGATCCACTCTGCATAGATTCAGGTTTCTGTCTGTTTTCATCTGATCAACATCCGTCTCTTTGATGTGTTGAGCAGTTCAGGTGTGTAGTGTGCATCAGTGGAAGTCACGTTCAACCCATGGATGGATTTCTGAAGGAAACGGTGGATTATTTCCTTAAGTAAGGGATCATTTCTAAAATCTGTTTAGAAAGCATCATTTTTTACAGATGAGAAAACCAATCAGAAATGTTTGTTCAAATATGTCTTAATTTCAATGGCTTGCCTTGCTGTTTAAGGAACTCTGGGAAAACTCGCTTTACTAAAGATGATGAAGCGATCTGGAGAGATCTGCTGCTGCCCATCCCCTCTGACCCCTCCCTCAAAGTGGATGTGAGTAACTAAAGCCAGAAATCTGCTGGTGGCTTTCTGCTTGTTTCTTCACCAGTTTAACCTTCTGCTGATGATAAAGTTTGGGTTGATTCATGAGAAACAATAAAATAAAGGCCCTTGTAATATCTGATCCCCCCAGGTGTTTCATGTTGTAGGAAAAAAGAGATCTAGATCTTATTCGACCAGAATTTGAGATGGAAATTGAAATGTTCCTGCCTGTTCTGCTCACACAAGATTTCATTCATTACTTTAAAAGCACAGGGAGAGATTCTCCAAGACAAAGCAGACAGATTTCCACAAACAGAAGGATTGATGAAATAGCCTGGAGTCTCAGAAAGTCTAAGCTTTTACCAAAACATTAAAAACTGAAAAAGAGACCCGAATTAAGGCCTGCAAGCAGGTGCTCTGCTGAAGCGAATACGTTTGGAAGTAATTAAATAAAAATCAGTTCTCATAATTAACAGGAGCAGGAATATAAGAGGAAATAGATTTTTAGACCACTGGTTTGTAACAACCGAAATCAAACAGACACAGATGTAGTGTCAGTAAATAGATGAGTAGAATCAGCCTGGCAGAAATGTTCTGGGCATTTCATAAGCTTCTGGTTCATCACAGAAAGGATCCTGATGTTTGGTTCTCTGGGATGTTTGTCTGCTGTGAGTGAGATTCCTGTCACAGAGAGGATCTTTGCTGGTGACCCGTCAGTAGGGTGTAAAGAAGGAGGCGAAGGATCCTCCCCCTGGTGACAACCAGTGAACCTCAGTTCAGCTATTCATGGAAAATGTTATTTAATCAGAACCTGTACTATGAAAAGTAATCACACCCTTAAAGATTTTCCTTTTTTGGACTACTGTTTAGTTCTTCAAATTTCATATTGAATTAATAATACTGATCAAATGTTTATAAAACAATGAATAAAAACCAGCTTCTTCAGCCGAGGGTCAGATTGAGAGGAGCCAGTTCAGGAGGCTCGGAGTCTCCCTGGTGAGGTGTTCCAGGCACGTCCCACCAGGAGGAGGCCCAGGGGGAGACCCAGGACACACTGGAGGGACTATGTTTCTCAGCTGGCCTGGGAGCGCCTTGGGATTCCCCCAGAGCAGCTGGCCCAAGTGGCTGGGGAGAGGGACGTCTGGGCCTCACTAAGGAAGGATAGGCGGAAGAGGATGGATGGATGAAAAGCAGATAAAAAAACAACAGTAGGAAAAACATAATCAGAGTCAACTGGAAAGCAAATAATTCCTCCGATTTAGTCCTTATAACATGGACTAATGTCCATGAAAAGATGCTGATGAAGATTCTCAGTCATCCAGGTCATAGTCATTCCGTAAAAGTTCAAAAAAATATCCACTAGACTTGGTTTCCAAGATTTGAAGACGTTTCGCCACCTCTCCAGGAATCTTTCTCAATTCAAATGTCTGGATCCGCAGTGAGTTTGAGTCTTATATAGGTGGCGAAACGTCCAGTGGATATTTTTTTGAACTTTTACGGAAATCCATGAAAAGATCTGCCTGAACGTTTGGGTCACATGACAGTCAGCCCAGTTCTCAGAGTGAAGATCTGCTGTCCCATCCTGCCATCAGAGAGAGGAGGTGGCGCCTCACATTTATATCGTTTTCAGGCATTTAGGAAATCTGAAACCTTTAGATCCTTTCTTTGGTTTAATACAAACCCAGCTGTGGTTTTCTGGGACTCTGCTGCCCAGAGACGGCATCGGAACAAACTACCAACAGGCTGCTCACCATGTGTAACATCATCTTGGACTGAGTTTCAGCATCTAATATAGACAAATTATGTTTTTGTTTTCTGCAGGTTTAATGGTTTCGTTTTCTGCTGGTTTTTAATGTTGTTGTTTTTTGCAGGTTGGAAAACTTCAGTGTCCATTGTTGCTGATTGTTGGAGAAGATGATCAGAACTGGTGCGCCTATGAGTCTGCAATGGATGTGAGTCTTTGCTGAAAACACTGACGCAGAACTATGAGGACCTTTGCAGTATTACACGTGATGTCTAACAAAATGTAGCTCAAGTTTTAACTTTACTTTTAGAAAAGTTTTAAAGCAGATCTTGTGCATGAAAGTATAAAATTATTCACAACTTTGCAAAACTTTGCATTTATATAAACATCCTCTAAAAAAAAGATAAAACTTACGTTTCTGAGCAAATACTAAGAGGACCTTATTTGTATATTTTTTAAAACACAAGGGATTTTAAAGTACTTTATCGCAAATCAAAAACAGTTTTTAAAAGTTAAATAATTAATATATTTTACACACACACTGACACAAGTTGGGGTTCCAGTATTCCAGTGGAAGCGGTCAGACTCTACCATCATCAATGCAAGATCTTGGTGAAAAATTAATGCAACACTGGATCGAAATAAATCTTTTGACATTGCAGAAGCTTATCGAAACAATTCCACAGTGAATCCACGCCTTTAATCAAAGCTAAAGGCGGTCCAACAAAGTATTGGAGTGAATTACCTTTTTTTTTGGTGGTGACTTTTTTTTGACCAGGGAGTGTATGTTAAAGTAGCCTGTAGACAGCTGGAGATAGACACCTGCACCCCTCGCCATCCTGCTAGGGATAAGCGTGATAGAAAATGGATGGATGGATGGATTCCTGCTCTGATGAAGGAACATCCACTGACTCTTTTTTACAAGAACAATTGTCGTGGGAAAAAAGTATTCAACTATTCATCCTAGTTAAATAAACGGAGATCGATGGATTTCACTCAGTCGGCACATTTATTCATATCTTTGCAAAGAGAGAACAGTCATCATACAGCCTTCATGGCATAGCATTCTGCTCTGTTCTGCACTGGGCAGCGTTCGTCCCCCCCTACTTACAACAATGAAAAGCAGTCAGAGTCATAACAAATTACACACACTTTGGTTAACAGTAACATGTTATGAATAAACCTTGAGAAAGAACCTGATTTGTTATGGGAAGAAGCTATGTCTGGTCTACAAACATCAACCTGCAGAGAATTGTGTGGCCTTGAGAGAGAAACAGACTGAGTGAAAACTTTTATAGTGAGTAAATAGGATAAATTAATATATAATAGAAGAAAGATAAAAAGTTTTCTGACAACAACAATGAAAACAGTTTTATCTTATAGATTAGAAAAAAAACAGGATGATTTATGTGATTAAATAACATTGCGCCCCAAATTAATTTGCCGTTAAATGGAATTATTAGGAGAAGCTCAGAAAATAGCTGCTTGGAATGACTTTGACATCCGTTTTAGATTCCTTCCTGGAGGCACAGTCCTGTAGGAGGAGGCCCAGGGGATGGCTCACACATGCAGGATATATGTTCCTTGGTTGGCCCTGGAGGTGGTTGAGAGTCTCTGCAGACACTGCTGGGTTTTGCCTGGTTTTGGAAAAGCGAAATCTGACAAGTACAAGAGAGGACAAAAAACATATTTTATTTTTGGAAAAGGAGTGTGAATACTTGAAGCAGGGGGTGTGTTTGAGATTGTAAATCATTTCCTTGCATTGGGCTCTTAATGATTTGAAATATTCTGTTTTGCAGATGAAGGCGATGATGGAGCGAGCAGGGAACAGCCATCTACTGACCCTCCTGTCGTATCCTAAAGCAGGTCACCTGATCGAGCCACCGTACACGCCGCACACACGAGCCAGTCTGTTTAGAGATGTTCGGTCACGTCAGACAAGTAGGTCTTCCTCTGGCCTTTAAAGCTCCTACTGCGACTCTGCTGCCGCTCTGATAACCGCCTGCTGTTTGCAGTGATGGCTCTGTGGGGGGGGCAGACCCTCGAACATTCCCGGGCCCAGGAGGACGCCTGGAGGAAACTCTTGGTGTTTCTGAGGACCAACCTGTATGGAGGCGTAAAGCCTGGAGCTTCATCGCTTTCCAACCTTTAAGTAGGCTAATGGCTGTTGGTTTGGAAGCAGAGGCCAGATCCTCAGTTCTCTGCTAAATAATGGGAATCACAGGAATCGAAGAATGAAGACCTTCACCAAGCAGCACATTGTGACTTAAAACTAAAGCTTAAATGTTCGCTAACTTCCATTCATACCTTTTTAAGTTATCCTGGTAAAGCATAACCTCCTTGGCAGAGTTAAATATGGCTGCTCTAGTGAAAATGTTTTGGATTAATAAAGCATTTGTTGATTATGTGTGGATCTGCTGTGGACCAATGAAGTAACTTTGTGTAATAAACTAACCAAAATAAGTAATTTAAGAAAAAACTGAATAAATCAAGTTTATATAAAAAGAAATCTGTCTGACATCCAGTATTGGTGATTAACAAACATGAAATTCACAATATCTTGTTCATCACATCAGTGGCTTATGGAAACAATTTAGGCTTCAGCCTCAGAGGTCCAATGAGGCACCTGCTGCAAACTCTTTTGTTTCTTAAAGTGTTTTTTTAAGTCGGATGATAAATGCAGTAAAATTGTTTGCTTGTTTCAAGTAAACATTGATAAAAAGATAACAGAAACAGCATGTAAAATGCATTAACCTGAGACATTATATCCAGCACATGCCTGCAAACAGCTGCTATGCGAGCGCCATCTGGTGGAGGAGAAAATTATTAGATATTCAACAAACTTTAAAATGCACGTTGGTCTTCACTTTATTCAGTTCTTGAGAGTTCTTCTCTCATTACTTTTAACTAAAATACATTAAAATGTTTATGGTGATGTTAGAGAAGCAAACACTGCAGAATTTATAAAAAAAAAAAAAAAAATCTGATGACTTTTTAGTCAAAATTTCTTTCATTCAACTGTTTTCTCTTCACTTGATCTATTCCTCCTATCTGGTGGCTGGAATTAAATCATATATAATAGTATAAGTCTAATATAATTTTAATAGTGGGACGTGATCCTATTTACTGACCCTCTGACTTAATTCAAGCAACATTTTCAGCAGGTTTTGGGGAAATAAATCCCATGCAGGTTAATTCCTTCCTAGTTTGTAGCGCCATCTAGTGGATAAGCACGGCAGCATGTCTGTGGGAGGAGACTAGTTCTAGAGAAAAGTTCCAGCGTGGATGTACGAGACACATTCATGAGCCGAGCAGGAGCAGGGTGAAGCCTCAGAGCTGGAGGAGCTGCAGGAGGTGCAGGCACTGCTGGTTTCAACTAAAGCCCCGGAGAAACACGGAGCTCACAGCCGGAGGATCTGCAGCTGCTGCAGTGAGTATCCCACTCACACGTGACGTGGAAAACTTGTTTCCTAATCTTGCTCCACGTGACTGTGAGACTCTGCTGTGGAGCAGCTTTAGAAAACGCTGTTCCTCTGACCTCCTCCTGTTCCTCTCACCTCTTCCTGTTCCTCTGACCTCCTCCTGTTCCTCTCACCTCTTCCTGTTCCTCTCACCTCCTCCTGTTCCTCTCACCTCCTCCTGTTCCTCTCACCTCCTCCTGTTTCTCTCACCTCTTCCTGTTCCTCTCGCCTCCTCCTGTTCCTTTCACCTCTTCCTGTTCCTCTCACCTCTTCCTGTTCCTCTGACCTCCTCCTGTTCCTCTGACCTCCTCCTGTTCCTCTCACCTCCTCCTGTTCCTCTCACCTCTTCCTGTTCCTCTGACCTCCTCCTGTTCCTCTGACCTCCTCCTGTTCCTCTCACCTCTTCCTGTTCCTCTCACCTCCTCCTGTTCCTCTGACCTCCTCCTGTTCCTCTCACCTCCTCCTGTTCCTCTCACCTCCTCCTGTTTCTCTCACCTCTTCCTGTTCCTCTCGCCTCCTCCTGTTCCTTTCACCTCTTCCTGTTCCTCTCACCTCTTCCTGTTCCTCTGACCTCCTCCTGTTCCTCTCACCTCTTCCTGTTCCTCTCACCTCCTCCTATTCCTCTGACCTCTTCCTGTTCCTCTCACCTCTTCCTGTTCCTTTCACCTCCTTCTGTTCCTCTGACCACCTCAGGTTCCTCTCACCTCCTCCTGTTCCTCTGACCTCCTCCTGTTCCTCTGACCTCGTCCTGTTCCCTGCACCTCCTCCTGTTCCTCTCACCACATCCTGTTCCTCTGATTTCCTTCTGTTCCTTTCACCTCCTCCTGTTCCTCTCACCCCCTGTTCCTTTCACCTCCTCCTGTTCCTCTCACCACATCCTGTTCCTCTGATTTCCTTCTGTTCCTTTCACCTCCTCCTGTTCCAATCACCTCTTCCTGTTCCTCTGACCTCCTCCTGTTCCTCTCACCTCCTCCTGTTCCTCTGACCTCCTCCTGTTCCTTTCACCTCCTCCTGTTCCTCTGACCTCCTCCTATTCCTTTCACTTCCTCCTGTTCCAATCACCACATCCTGTTCCTCTGATTTCCTTCTGTTCCTTTCACCTCCTCCTGTTCCTCTCACCACATCCTGTTCCTCTGACCTCCTCCTGTTCCTTTCACCTCCTCCTGTTCCTCTCACCTCTTCCTGTTCCTCTGACCTCCTCCTGTTCCTCTCACCTCCTCCTGTTCCTCTGACCTCCTCCTGTTCCTCTCACCTCCTCCTGTTCCTCTGACCTCCTCCTGTTCCTCTCACCTCCTCCCCACTGCTCAGCTCAGGCAGACTGGAGGCTTTTAGAAAAAAGATTCTCCATTTAAAACTTATTGATATTCAAACTATTTTCTGTAAAAGAAGAAAAATCGGCATCAGAATTAAAATTTCCTTTATTGATCAGTTTTATCCAAAAGTTTAGTTTCCAGCCCTACAAACAAACAAACCAGAAATAATCAAATAAAAACATCAATGCAAAGAATCTGAATTAGTCTGATTATTTAGGGGAGAATAAGGCAAACTAAATATCAATATTTCTAGCAGCTGGTCTCTGGAACCGGAGAGGCTCAGTTATTTAAATCAGAATCTAACATTTTGCATAAAATCTTCAATCGTTTCACTACAGCGGATTATAATAGTTATGGTGACATAAACCACGGTTCAGCACTAGATGACTTTTCTGACTGAATGATGCTTTCTTCTCCCTGGTCTGAGTCTCATGAGGGATTCCTGGCCTCCATCAATCAGTCAAATCTTTTAGCGTGTTCTGCCAATCAGCAGCCAGCTGCATAAACCCGCCCCTCCTGCACCGTGGACCCTAAAGTAGGTCTGACCTCTGAGCAGTGGAGTGTAGTGTTACCGTAACAGAGCCCTGCGTTGCTGCTGCTCCTGCAGCAGCTGACGGAGGAGCCCAGCAGCAGGCAGGAAACGCTAAAGATAAAAAAACCCTGCGTCCGTCTATATTAAAGTATAATTAGTTTATAATTAGATCAAAAGGTGTTCTTTCTTCAGAATATTTAAAACTGGTGTTTTATTTTGTAATAACAAATCATATGTTTGATCATTGTGTCGGCCCAGAGTCAGCACCACAGCTACATTTGTCCATGAAAGCAGACACAAAGCAAGTCCACTGACTGTGTAGAATAAGATAGAGATTGTTTCATTAAAAGAGCTCAGAATTATAAATTCTATGGCTGCATGGCTGCTTAGTTTGAAAGTTGAGTTTTATCTAAGGGTGCTACGATCAGGATTTTTGGGGCCGATCACCGATTGCTGAAAGCAGTATTGGTTGATACCGATCACCGATCACCAGTAACCGATCACTGGGTCTATCTGAAGCCTTCCTTTTATCATGTCATATATTCAATTTTAATAGTCTTAACAAAAATGTATATGTATTAAAATTAACAGAAGATAATGTATTGTGAATTGTCAACTGTATACTTTTATTGACAGAAAACATTCAACATTTTACTTCCTTAGAAACATCTTAAACAGCTTAGAGCTTAACAAATAAGCCTTATTTCTAAATAAGATACAAAAAATCTGTCATTGTTAATTTACACAAACTTAAAGTGTACTTAAACTTAAAGTGCACAGCAAAGAAAACAATCAAATATTTTGGGATGCCATGATAAAAAGGCATAAGGTATTTATTTTAGGCTTGTCCTGCGGTAATTAACTGAAAATAGAATCCATGACGGAACAGTCACACATCTTTAGATAATATATCAGTACTTGTTTGGCTTTTTGTCCTAGCTCAAAGTCTAAAATGTCCTTTTAATCACTTCAGACATTTTTCAGTAGTAATAAAGTTTTGTAAAATTCAAACAAATGCTAAGTTTAAATGTTCTTTTAGCTCCTTTAAATCTACATACATTTAAAGTGCACAGCATGGAAATCATGAGTCAATGAGAAAGAAAAAAGAGGAATAGAGATTAGTAAAGCCATTTCTCTTAAAGCTTACTTGTTAAGAATCAATGGCAGATTTTGCTTTAGAAATATAAGCATCTCTGCATTTTTGGCAGACAGCTTGTTCCTTTTCTCATCTACAATATTCCCTGCTGTGCTAAAAAGTCGCTCACTATCTACACTTGTGTATGGAGCCCAGAGGTAGGCTTGTGCTGCTTGTGCGAGAGCGGGGAAACGACTTTTATTGTCTCGCCAAAAAACAAGCGGCTGTCCGCTCCGTGGGATGACTGGCTCTGATAGGTAGAGGTTAATCTGCGATGATGTTGAGCTGCTGATGTCACCGCTACCATGTTCCCCATCTTCATCCAACAACTCAGCATACATAGCGTTTAAGGAGCCAGCTCGACTTTCTCTGGGGGCTCTGTGCCAGTCGCTTCCAGGACAAGGACATCAGAAAGCAGCCCGCGAATCCGGGGCCTGAGTGCATCGGAGAGAACTTTCTGAACACTGTGTGATTGAATAGTTCTGAGCACTTTTCAGTTTCAGACCTTTTTTTGTAAGAGGTGCAGCTGCTGAGAATTATTTTTGTTTCTTAACCGGTTTGGCTAGCCTCATTGCTATGTGTGGAAAGCATAGCCAAGGAAGGAACACTTAATTTTAATTTTATACGTTTTTTATCAAGCTTGCTTAATATTGTGCACAGCATACAACCTTTATTTTATTTATTTATTAATGAAAATATTTCTGTAGAATTTTGGAGTCTTTGTTTTTATCCTTGTGGTATCGAAAATGGTATCGAGTATCGAATATTCTCCTTAGTATCGGTATCGAGTTAAAAAGTTTAGTATCGTGACAACCCTAGAAATTAATGAAAAAATCCCCCAAAAAATAATGAATTGTAATTATTTTAAATAATCCGCGGAAACCCTGGATCATTTCCGCATGTTTTGATGCTTTGAATTTAATCATCTGGCGCATGCTCTCTACCACAAAGCGGAGGCTTTGTGCAGCTTTGTTCAGCCGGTCTGGAGCACAGCGGGGCGGGGCGGAGCGCTGACGGAGTATGAGGGATTTCGGGGTTAGCATGACATGTTGGTCATGTTGCTGTTAGCATAAACAAAACGTGTTGCACAATGCTTGCACACTGTTGCACTTTTATCCACAACTTTCTTTCCGCCGTCATTGTAGGTCACTCTAAATGCAAAGTGCTCCCATACAGCAGACCTATAAAGTGCTGCTGGCGCGTCTTCCAACTCCTGTTCTTTCCCACTCGCCATACCCACACAATTCTCCACAACAACTGATTTTTTTCTGCTACACCCGGCTACACTGCTTCGCTTCTTCTTCTTCTTGTTTACTACTGGTGGTTGGCTTTGGTCGCAGTACCGCCACCTTCTGCTCTGGAGTGTAAACGCTTCGCCTATGAGAAAAAGGACCGAACGAAACACACGCGAATCGAACCGAGACAGTCGAACCGAACGGTTCGGAAGGTTTTCATAAACCGTTCCATCCCTAATATGTATATATATATATATATATATATATATATATATATATATATATATATATACACACACACACAAACACAGGATGCAGTGCTGGGTTTTCTAACACCAGCTGCCATCGACTCTGCAGGAATCTCTCCACCTGGATGTTGTTACATGACCCAGTCACTTGTATTGTGTCGTTGCCTCTGCTCCATTCCCTGATTTCAATCATGCTGTGACAGTGGAGAGGAAAAACTTCCTTTTAACAGGAAGAAACCTCCAGCAGAACCAGGCTCAGTGTGAGCGGCCATCTGCTGAGGCCGACTGGGGTTCAAGGAAAAAGAAGCAGAGATAGAACAGGAACATGGAAGCACTGATTTATAAATACTGTTTATAAAAAGTATTTAGCAAAACATAAACTACATCTGTATTGGGTTCTAGGAGAGAAACGGTTAAGCAGATGAGCTCTGAGACATTTTTCATGGAGTCAGTAACAGTTAGGGCTGAGAACATAGATCTTGGTGACATAGATATTGCAGATAGGC